AATTATTATCGGTGTCAATGCTACATAGCTTGGAAATATTTTTTAGGATGTATTTTAAAAGTTCTAATTAAGGAAAAGTCCGCCCCTCCCATTACAAAAAAGATTTTTTTTATCTGGCAATATACTGTTAAGTCCTAAATGATCCCTCTAAAAGTGATTTTTGGCTGTGGGTTTTTCTTTTATTTATATGTTAGGATACTATGTTTTATGTGATTGTAAATATATTTAATGCCGTTTATTCAAATATGCATGAGGTTTACATGTTGTGAAAGGAACCAACTTTCTGACTTAATTTAATTAGCAGTAAACAGAATATAAACATGAATATCTTAAAAACGAACAGACGGGGAAACACAAATTATCTGGATACTGTAAAAAGAAAAGAGAAAAAAACCTACGGCTGGTGAAGGGAATTCAGTAATAAGATGCAAGAGAAATAACTGCATTTCATCATTTTTATCAGCTGGGCCCTAAAGCTGGTGGTAAAATTCTGTTATCTTTCCAGATGTTCCAGTCTACTCATGCATGTCAACGGACCACTGTTGAGGTTTTGGCCAGAGTTCTGTGTGTGTGTGTGTGTGTGTGTGTGTGTGTGTATTTCTAGAGGACTGTAACCAATACAGCATCAGTATTTCTTATGGAAACTAACACATTTGATAACAGTGATAATGGAGTTTGTTAGCGAGTTAGCGTGTTTGCATACCAGGTCGCGAACACTTGTTTCTAGTTCATTTCTACTGTTGCTACTATTTCACAGGCATTCTTCACTTTCTACTCGGTTGGGTGTAGGCCAGTGGTTCTCAAAATGCAGTGTGCATTTTATAGTTTCCAGGGGATTCACAGAACTCCCTGAAGATTTTTTTTGAACCTCAGGGTCTATCTGAGCATAAAATACAAGCCACTATTCTGGGATACACAGCCCAAGAGTAGAGAGGAGTGGCAGGTATCTCCTGAGTGCTACATAGAAATTAAAAGCAATTGCTTGTCTTTTTTTTTCTTTTCCTTCGGAGGTAAAGATATTAAAATCTGTTTAACAACCAGTTCATAGGGGATCCCTGGATGGCTCAGAGGTTTAGTGCCGACTTCCTCCAGGGCGTGATCCTGGAGACCCAAGATCAAGTCCCACATCAGGCTTCCTGCATGGAGCCTGCTTCTCCCTCTGCCTGTGTCTCTTGCTCTTTCTCTGTGTCTCTCATGAATCAATAAATAAAATCTTAAAAAAACCCCAAGAACAACCAGTTTATAAACCTAATGGGGTGAGCTAAATAATAATCAAAATCTAATTTATGAATATTGTGATGGACTTGGTTTGAAAGAGAAAAGAATAGAGGAAAAGACAAGCATGAAATAGAAAGGGAAGTTGGGAGAGAGTGAAAAAAGAGATGGTGACAGTTAGGGGGGCAGAATGGAAGTGAGGAGACCCATGGAAATGATGAGATGAAAGAGAGAGAATGGGCCTCAGATCCACAGTGGAAAAAACACTGGGAGGGAGAAAAAAGTCAAAGAGGTGGAAAAAAGAAGAAATCATGATGGATGGATCCATCTCTAAACCGATTTTTGTTCCAATTGGTATTGTTTCACAAGAGTTAAGCCCATGCTTGCCATCAGAATTCAAATTCTAAGTGTAAAGAAATACACCTTAGTATTTTCCCTGTTATATTCTCTCTATTAAAATTCACCAGGATAATTAACCAGAATAACTAACACAGTTAAGTTCCAAATATACAAATCTACACAGTTTATTTTTTCCCCTCTCCTCAAATAAACTATAATTACATTTTCGGGAGATGTGGGAAAGCTTACCCACCTCCGGACTATCGCATAATCAATAGGATACACGTGCATACACACCCATGCACACACATATCTGATTATATAAATATATAACTACAAGAGTATGGAAAAATGTCATTTCTTCAAATATGAGCTCCCATTTCAGTAAATAGACAAACCATGGTTGTTCCTAGAAATTTTAAAATTATTTATCAGACAGGACTTTCTAAAGTCACCAGGTGGGGACTCTGAGTCACTGAGAGTTAAGATGTACCTCTGTGGGAAGAGCAATGATAATACCAACGGGGGTAGACTTTGCAGAAGTGGCTGCAGTTGCTGGCTTCCCTCTGCCCGGGCCCCTCGCAGTGTGACTTTGCGGTCCCTCTCAGCGGGAGGGAGGGGCCACTTCACCTCTGGAAACAGGGCTGGCCTTGCGACTGGCTTGCGTAGGGACATGGGGCGAGTGTGCCATTTTTGAGTTTAGGCTTCAAGAGGCCTTGTACGCTTCCAGGTCACTCCTGGGTGCCGTGTCCCTACCATGAGAACCAGCTTGGCTTAGGCCGCTGAGGACCAGAGCTGAGTCACCCTGATTATCTCAGCCGGGCCCCCAGGCCTGACGACAAAGCTGATCCACAGGTAACCGCAGGTGCATGGGAAGGTCCAACTGAGCTGAGAGCTGCCGGGGTGTGCCCAGCCCGGGTTGTTGACCCACAGAATTGTGAGCCACATAAATGATTGCTTCTTATGTCACTAAGTTTGAGATCATAACAGTCCGCTGACACCCCTTACCGCATGCTAAGTATGTGTCAACTACTGGGCTAAGCGCCTTAGATACAGTATCGCAGTGAATCTTTTTAAGACCACGTGGCCACAGATACTTTTATTATTCTCATTTCGCAGAGAAGAAGACAAGACATTTTTACCCTCTTCATGGCCAGAATTGAGGTCCCCATCTCCCCAGCCTGACCTCTGCGCTCCAATGCCACAGTGCCTCCCTCCGAATTTGCTGGTTGGCCAATCTGAGAAACTTGAGTAACTAAGGATTATCACTTATCACTTTGAGGATTGTTACCTTTGTTACTTGAATTCTTTGAATTTAGCACTAGAGCAAGAGCTCCCCAGCTTTTTTTTTTTTTTTTCACCGAGTAACTACTTTTGGTGGCGAATTTCCTTTGCCACCGAGTTTTTTCCTGCTTCCTGTCAACATTTCAGTTGGTGGGAAGCTCTCAAGCCGCTCCATCTGAACTACTCCAAGCTGGAGGGGGAAGTGGCTGGCAGTGGGCCGAACACTTGATTCTTTGTGTGTGTGTGTGTTTAAATTTGTGCAGTATTCAAGTATTTTATACATACATAAAAAAGGAGGGATCCCTGGGTGGCGCAGCGGTTTAGCGCCTGCCTTTGGCCCAGGGTGCGATCCTGGAGACCCTGGATCGAATCCCACGTCGGGCTCCGGTGCATGGAGCCTGCTTCTCCCTCTGCCTGTGTCTCTGCCTCTCTCTCTCTCTCTCTCTCTGTGACTATCATAAATAAATAATTTTTTTTTTTAAAAAGAAGAAAACATATATGAGTAGTCATCCAAATCAAAGGTGATGGCAGCTTAAGCTCACCAGTTTAGGTGTGTACTGTTGAGTTCACCACCACCACCTAGAGACAAGGTTCTGAACGAAGAAGCGTTAATTCCTTCCAAGGGGTGCCTTAAAATGTCTCTAATACTTGAGGGAGGGAAAACGGGCAAGTCCTGTTCAGCATATTATTTAAGCAGCACTTTAGATGGTTATGCATGTTTTTGTCGTCCCCAAAATAGTACCTTCTTTCCCCATGGGTGAGAAATCTCATTAGTTCTTACATTATTAACCAAAGCTCATTTTCCTAGCAAGTCAAAGCCAGCCAGCGGAAGTTCTTTTACAAATTTGTGTGTTCGAGGCTTCAGAAATTCGAACAAAATTCTCACTGAAACCGAGTTTTCCAGATGTTCCGGTGGGCTGGAAGCCCCACGTGGCTTCCTGGGATTCTAAGTGGGATTGTTGGTTAAGTAATAGGCAAGCTGGACTTACTGCCTGTTCTCTTCTAGGGCGTCTCATCTGCCCTCAGAACAGGAGCAAGCAAAGGACGAGAAAGGGCAATAGCTGTTAACACTTAGGTAGTACCTGCTGTCTGCCTCCCTCTCCTAATCCCTTACATTAATGTTCCCAGATTCTCTTGCTGTGGGGACAACTTCCAAACCCCTTTCTAACATGAGGAAACCGAGGCAGAGAGCGGCTCAGGCGCATCCTCCAGACCACAGCCGTGGTTCGGGGGGTGCCGGGTCCGAGCCCCGCAGGCAGGCTCCAGGCCGCGGGTCTGTCTGCGCCGCGCGTTCCACCTGGAGCAGCCGACGGGAGGCCCGCGGGCGGGTCACGCGGTGTCACGGGCCCCACCGTCCTGCGACCCCGGCTGCGCCAACACGCGGCCAGAACCGGCAGCTGGGGCTCAGGAAGGGGATGCGGGTCCCTGGGCCCGGGGGTTCCCGTCTCCATTCCCGGCCTCTGCAGCCTCACCTGCCCTGGTCCCCGGAGGCCCCCCCCCCCACGGCCTCCGCAGCCTCACTTGTCCTGGTCCCCGGAGGCCTCCCCGCCGTGGCCTCCGCAGCCTCACCTGCCCTGGTCCCCGGAGGCCTAACCCCCCCCCCCCGCCCGCGGCCTTCGCAGCCTCACCTGTCCTGGTCCCCGGAGGCCTCCCCCCCCCCACGGCCTCTGCAGCCTCACCTGCCCTGGTCCCCGGAGGCCTCCCCCACCCCCCCGCAGCCTCCGCAGCCTCACCTGCCCTGGTACCCGGAGGCCTCCCCCGCCCACGGCCTCAGCAGCCTCACCTGCCCTGGTCCCCGGAGGCCTCCCCCCCCCCCCCACGGCCTCCGCAGCCTCACCTGTCCTGGTCCCAGGAGGCCTCCCCTGCCCACGGCCTCTGCAGCCTCACCTGTCCTGGTCCCTGGAGGCCTCCCCCCCCCCACAGCCTCCGCAGCCTCACCTGTCCTGGTCCCAGGAGGCCTCCCCCGCCCACGGCCTCTGCAGCCTCACCTGTCCTGGTCCCCGGAGGCCTCCCCGCCGTGGCCTCTGCAGCCTCACCTGTCCTGGTCCCAGGAGGCCTCCCCCCCCACGGCCTCCGCAGCCTCACCTGCCCTGGTCCCCGCGGCCTCCCCCTCCACCCCCCCGCAGACTCCCCCTCCCCCCCCCCCCCGCGGCCCCACTCACCGCAGTTGTCCTCGTCCGCCTGGTTGCCGCAGTCGTCCACGCCGTTGCAGTGCAGCAGCTGCGGCAGGCACCGGGTGGTGTTCCCGCAGGGGAAGAAGCCCAGGGAGCACCGGGCATGCTGGCCGCCCCCGGGAGCCCCTGGCGAGGAACCGGGAGGGCAGGTGAAGGCGCGGCCGTGCCCCCGCCCCTCCCCGGCGGCCCCCTTGCCTCCTGGCGGGACACCGGCGCCTTCCCAGGCCTCGTGCGCGTGGAGAGTGGGGAGGCCTTTCCCGCGCCCGAAGACGCCAGGGCGCCCCTGCCTGGGTGCTGGCGGGGCAGGCGCCCCCCGTGCCCCAACCAGCCCCCCGTGCTTGAGCGAGGCTGGGCTGCCCCCGCGCAGGAGGCCCGGGGGTGTGGGGGTGTGGGGTGGGAGGGGTGTGGGTGTGGGGGTGTGGGGGGTGTGGGGGTGGGAGGGTATGGGAGGGGTGGGGGTGTGGGGGTGTGGGGGTGTGGGGGTGGGAGGGTATGGGAGGGGTGGGGGTGTGGGGGTGTGGGACGGGTGGGGGTGGGGGGCGCAGGCCTGGGCCCCGAGCCCGCAGCTCCCGGCCTTGCAGTGGCCTCTCCGCCCAGTGACGGGCACGTTAAGGGCCCTCGGGGCCTTCTCTGGCTTAATAACTGACTTTTTAGGGCCGAGTCGAGGCCCTTTGCCTGAATGTGGCCGCCGAAGGGCATCTTGGTTGCTCCCAACTGGGCAGCGACGACCACAGGTGCCGCAGACATCCGCGGGCAGGCTTTTGCGTGGGTATAAGGGAACTGTGCCACTTTGAAACCTCAGATTTATATGGACTTTAAAGATTATTGGAGACTCCAAATGTGATTCCGTTGTGTATTATCCTTATCAAGTTTGCACACGCTTGGAACTTTCTAGAATATTGTCGATTATGAGAAATAAGAACAGAGCACTTTGAACTGTCAATAGCATTTGTTATATAAAAATGTATTTGTGATCTGTCGTCAAGACATGAAAAGAATAAAAGTGATTATTTGCTCTGTAAGATGTAGCAGGACATTTTTATAACAGGGCAAGTGACATTTTATAGAGAAAAAATCTAACTATGTTAGGTTTTGACGGTACTTGGCTGTTTCAGAACACATTATTTGATGAAGGAAATAGTCAAATCTACATAATAATGAGCTATGTTATCAGTGTTCTCACTTGTGAAATTATTTTAAAATGATCCATATTTTTTTCAATAAATTGGAATGAAGTCAGAGGAATTGTATACTTTTGTGTACAGGATGCCACTGTTAGAATATCACACATTTCAGAGACCTCAGGTGTATATAAAATAATAAATAAAATAAAATAAAATAAAATAAATAAAATAAAATAAAATAAAGTTAATCTGTGTTGATACTGACTTTTGATACCTTTATTAACTTTTTAAGAACAAAATTTAAAAATCAAGGGACCCTGTCTGCCTCAGTCGGTAGAGCATGACACTCTTGATCAGGGGGTTTTTTCAGTTCTGGCCCCTCATTGGATAGATAGCTTACTCAAAAAAAATAAAAATGGAGGGTTTCAGAAAAATTCTTTGATGAATTGTCAGCCTTCAGCCACAGTTACTGTTTGAAGATGTTTTAACTAGACGCACCTGCCTGTGTTTTCATGCTGCTGGTTTGAAAATTCTTCTCGAGTAACTTATTTTTATGGACATTATGCTTTCATGTTGTATCTTTTAAGTTTATATATAGAAGCAGCTACAGCTCTTCAATGATTATGTCATGAAATTAGTCCTACATTTTCATAATGGTATGATTCAAAGATATATTAAAGTCTTAAATAGTGATACTTAAAAAATAGCTTTATTTTGAGATGATCTCAAAGTTGCAAATATAGTATAAAGGATGATTATTTCCCCCCCTGAATCGTTTGAGAGTAAGTTCCTGACCAGATGCTCCATCACCCCTAAAAACTTTGGTTGTGTTTTTTTCTATAAACAAGGACATTCTCCTACATAACCCCACTTAGAACCATCAAAATCAGGAAATTAACATCAATGCTTTACTACTATTTCAACCTCAGAATCCATTCACATTTCGTGTTGCTCAAGAGTCCTTCATAGTAAAAGGATCTACTTCATAATTTTTGTGTTCAGTTGTCACATTTCTTTAGTTTCTTTTGATCTGGAATAGTTTCTTAGATGATAGAGTTAAGGGGCCAGTAAGTGATGATTATAGGAAAATTTTGTGGAGGTTGATATTATGCCACCCCAAAATATGCCACTTTGGCATAAGTATTATTTTAAACTAAAGACGGTTAAAAAAAATAAAAGCAAACATAGGAAGAGCTCTCCACCCTCCCCCATCCGCCTAAAAGCAGGGCATCAGTTTCCCTTTGTGAAGGTGTCTTCCTCTTCCCTCCATATGAGGGAGATGTCACTGGAGATGGAAAGTTGGCACCAAGGTGAGTCTGCACAAACAAACCTTACTAAAATAACCCCTTTCTTCCCTCTCAGGATTAAAATCTTAGGGGTTTCAATAAAACATTTTTTGCAGGCTAAGTTCCTAGTGGTTTATCATGAAAGGAATAAAATTTAGCTTTTACTTTTTGACAGACCTTGACCGAAATGCACAAGCACTTAGAATTTGGTCAAGGGAACTCATGAAAACGCCAACTCAGTGAAATTATAACCCTCCTTCTGGAAGAATCTGAAAGGTTAATATGGAAAATTTTAATGTGGTTGCTCTGAAGTTAATGCCTTAAGGGCATCTCTGGTCAGTTAAATTTAAAATAAAGTAGGAGAGTCTAATTGGTACATTTCATGAAAATGTTTATTGTGTTTCTGTACAGCTATGACTTGCGTAAGCATTAAGGGAAGTTTCATCAGATTCTATAGCTTATTTCCAGTATTTGAAATCCTTTTTACAATCTATGGAAGATATGCAGTATTCTATTTTCTCAGATAATTACAGCATCAAAAGTATAGGGAGTTTACTAAATACCTTTTTAGGAAGTAAAATAAACACACATGCGCAAACACATGCACACAAGCCAGACCCAAACACACAAACTTTCTCTACACTCAGTCCATTTACCTTATTTTATTATCTTTTAAAAAATGATTTATTTATTTATTTGAGAGAGAGATAGCAGGAGCACAGGGGGAGAAGCAGACTGCTTGTTGAGCAGAGAGCCTGGCTCGGCCTTGATCCCAGGACACTGAGATTGTGACTTGAGCCGAAGGCAGGTGCTTAACCCACTGAGCGACCCAGGTGCCCAGCGTCCATTTATTTTAAAAGATAGATAATTTCTATCTTAAGTGATGACCTCCAATAACTATTTAAGGTTCTTTAAAAACAAAACAAAAATACCAGTCATAGCAGAGGACTGTTAAATACGTGGGGCAATTTCAGAACTATATTCACATATATATGTTGAACAATAGCCAGTATAATTTGATCTCATTTACACAAAATAAGGGCTGTATAATACTTGTGTTTATAAAATACTGATGTGGTCACAACAAACTGTCAACAGTGTTCATCTTTGGGAAAGGGGACCAATAATTGCAGGACAAAGGGGAAATTTTACTCTGCAAATTATATCTTTAAGAGAATCTGGACTTGTTTTTTAAAAGCGAGTATTCCTTTAATAATAAGAAAATAATCTGAAGTTATTTACAAGAATTCAAATGTGTGGAAACTTGGTTTCTCAGCTTCAGATTAAACATCTCATTTGTAATAGTAGTTAGCCCTTTATAGACCTTTTGAGACAAGGCAGTATAAGGTCAGTGGTTCTCAGTCATGGATGATTTGTTTCCTCCACTTTGGGGAACAAGTGGCAAAGTCTGCAGACATTTTTTTCATTGTCACGACTTGGCAGGGTGGGGGGGGGCCGGAAGGGGGTGCCATTGGCATCTAATAGGTAGAGTCCAGAGATGCTGCTAATCATCTCGCGAAGCGCAGGAACGCTCCCTCAAACAAATATTTATCTGCCCTAATGTCAGTAGTGCCCAGGGTGAGAAGCCCAGGGCTCGGCATTGTTGAAGAATCAATGGGAAAGCACTCCATGCCAGCAGACTAACACAGGAGTTCACTTGCAGGACAGGCAATCAATTAATTAATACTCAGTGGCCGTTTATCTTCTAGTGGAGACTCTCCATTGGATTTTAAGAGATTTTAGAAGTGGATGGACATTACCAAATGGAGGGACTAGTGCAGCTGCTGTGTCTCTGGAAAGGTTGTGATTGCTGTTGTTTTGACAGTTGGGAGAGAGGCCATACCTTGTTATGTCCACCAATGCCAGGGCAGTTAGAAGGAATAAATTCTTGACTACAAGGATTATTAAACAATGGACTGGGTTACTAAGACAATCTCTGGAGGTTTTGAAAAATTGGATAGATAATTTAAGTATATTCTGCCAAAAGTAAAAGAATCAGCCACAAAATATTTTCGGGCTTCTTGAACTAGTTCCATGAATCTATGAATAACAAAACAGATGTTTAGAAGGAGGTATTATTCAAAAGAACATTTTAGACTTTAAATTTGAGATGTGTGCACTCTGTATACATTAAAAAATCTTGAAAAAAATTACATCATCTATACAGTAGACAAAATAAATTCATTTGTCCTGACAAAATCCAGGTACTCAACAGCTCTTAATGATATTGCCTCAACCCAGGTTCCCATTTTAAATATTTTATTATGATCTTTCTCAAAACTTACACTACTCCAGATAAATTAAACTTAGTTTCCCAAGAATTATGCCTTTCTCTAGGTGAATGGGATTCAGAACACACTTACTGTGGGGTGCCTGGGTGGCTCAGTCAGTTAAGCGTCTGGCTCTTGATTTTTGCTCAGGTCATGATCTCAGGGTTGTGAGATTGAGTCCTGCCAAGGCTCTGTGCTGGGTGTGGAGGCTGCTTGGGATTCTCTCTCTCCTCCTCCCTCTGCCCCTTCTCCCCACCACTCCCCACCCTTGCTTATCCACATGTGCATGCTCTCTCTTAAAAAAAAAAAAGATTACTTGTTGTGATGAGCACTGAGTGATGTAAAGGATTGTTGAATCATTATATTGTACACCTGACAGTAATATAACACTATATGTTAATTATACTTGAATAAAAAATATATATACTTGAATAAAAAAATACAAC